TTAAATTACAGAAAATATCAAGTAAATCCCAGAAAAAGTATTTCCATATCATAATATCCATACCAAGAATCTGTATTTTCACAAATAGTTATTTATTCTTTCACAATGTGTGACTATAAAATGACTTTTACTCTCTTTGAATCTGTAAAAAATATAATTATTTAGATATTTGCCATTATTTTTCCCAGTTGCATTTTTTTTAAATGTATTTTTCTGGCACCTTTGTGCCAGATTTTTTTTTTTAACAGTGTAGCATTAGCATCACATAACTAACATGTTAGCAGTTAGAAGTTGTTAAAACACGCAGTAGTTAAGATGCATCATGCACATTGTCTCTCATTAAATCCTTCCTTTTAAGTTTGATTGTGCATCGGTTAATGATGTCTTCAGCTTCATTAATTAAATAACAATGAAATCACGTGGCTATTAATACAGAAGCAAATACAAAGTGTAAGTGCCAGTGAAAAAATAAACAGGGCTGTCTAGCTAGTCCCATCTTGCTTGCCTTCATCAAAGGTGAACACAGAGAAGCGAAAGAAGTGTCGCTGTGCAGAACAGATTGTTCTTCCAATGTCATACTGCATTGTTAGTTACAGCAAAAGCTTAATCTTGACCTTTGACCTGTTATTTGAGGCATTAAACGCTCTGATCTTAGAGAAGGTAGATTTTGAAAACATGCCCAACCCGTATATTAGACACTGAGGGGTCTACTGTAGCTGTCATGGAAACATACAAGCCCTAACTTGCTCGTTGACGTAGCAGAGTTTCACTGTCTCCCTCAGTATTACTTTGAGTTTGCTTCATCGTTGCAGTGGAAAACCTCTCATTAAGCCTGTATTCAGAACATCAGAAGCAAGCTTGTTCAATTTTGATGTTCATGACTGTTTGATCCTTCCCAGAAGATGAAAAGGTTTGTTTTGAAGGGCCAAAACAGGGTAGATTTCGTTACAAAGCCTGTGTTGTTTGGGGAAATGGACCACTGTCATGATCCTGCCCCGACAAAGACGTGTTCAGTGAAGCCTTTCAATGGATTAATGACACCACGTCCTTTCTATTATTTCAATAAGAGGATATCATTCAGTGATTGTAATTGTTTTCTTTTCACATAAAATGAAAAAGGCCGCAAAACAGGGATGTGCTGCATCCTGTGGGGGGAAACAACCCCAGCAGCAATATTAAAAGACTATTCCCATTTACCAAAAGCTCAGGAGACTTGAAGGATTTGGAATTCATTGCCAGATCTTATGCATAATTAAGCAAATCCCCCTCCTACCCTCCCACCCAGCCGTACCCCCTGCTTCGCCAGAGGGATTTTCATGCAGCTCTGCCTCACAGACAGTAGGTGCTTATTACATTACCTCAACCCTATTAGGCCAGAATCAGGCTCTTGTTATCATTAACTACTGCAGAGAATACACACACAGACATGATTCCACTTACTCTTCTGCAAACATGACATTGTTTGGCTTCATGACTTCCCTCATTTCCATATTTCCTACTAGCTGTTAGAGCTAAAACATGCTAGGATCTGGCAGCCAGTAAGCCACAGGCCACTTCTCTGTCTTGTTTATGCCGCCTGCTGTGAGCTGACAAAAGATGGCTTTGTTGGAAACGGAGTGTGAAGAAAGAGACGGAGACTCTCTTAATGCTCTGTTTCATGTTGACTCGATTTGGTCTCCCTTTCCAGGGACTTTTCAGTGCGTTTGTCAGGGCCGAGGACACCGTTGGCCAAAGGAACGGAATTCTATTCAGGCTTGAAATCTGTGAGAGGTTGTAATGGCTCTTTTTTTACTTTGATTCTGTGCACAGCTGCTGTTGAATCCTCAAAGCATATTCACCACGTCAGCATATTTACCAAAGGTCTGTCCACAGAATGTGTTATTTAAGTGCCATCTGAGCGAGCTCGTTAAGGCGACATCCCTTAAGTGAAAGCATCGTCTGTGTGCAGCGGGGAAGGCTTTTACTGTACATGGCCGCCGACTGGAGATGAGAGAGGCAGCGTCTCCACTCTGCTCTGCCTCAAACGGCTTATTAACCATGCAACCAGTCTGCTCAGGGAGAACACAAAACACACAAAGAGCAGCTCCCAGAAACACCCGTCATCTTTTGTGTCTGCTTTCTTGTTACTGTGCGCGTGAACCTTCACACACTGTTACACATGCGACCCCCTTCATGCAGACATGCCCAGGGGGTACATGTATCGACCATCCAGCCCAGTTGACCCCGTCTTCACTTCCTCGTCATCCTCCCCCATTCATGGTGCCGACCGAAAATCCACCCCGATATTAAGCTCCCCTCCCCTTCCTCCTGTCTTCCCTCCGTTTATCCTGCTGTCGCTTTCGGCCTCTTTTAATATATATTTGAGAGCTGAATCCCTGCTCCTCTGGATGAGCTCACATGTGTTGAAGGAGGGGGAAGCATTTAAAATGACCAACAAGAACCAGTGACAGCTTCACTAATATCCTTTGCCTGGTTAGAGTCCTTTTTTTAGCAAGACATTTTCCACCATATGTCATTCGCTCTGCCTGTGTATCGTAGCTTGTCTTATTTAGGATTAGACTGCTTTGCTTGAGTTATGCATCGGCTGGCTTCTGTGCTATACCCAACAGATGCATGGCATCCCCTATAACAGGAGTCAGACAGCGGATGTCAGCAGAAGGCTGGATAGCTTGACACTGTCCATATGCACTTTTACCCTCATCTGCTTATCAGAAGGGGCTCCCAAACCACCCCACCTTACCGTTTTCTGTAAATTAGCATTTCCCAGCAGACCCCCTGTGGATATATCTATTCATAATAGCAGAGGCTTGAGTCCATAAATTGCTCTGGGCTTAGCGTAATGGTTTCACTGCACTGAGCAGTGATTAGAGCTACTTCACGAGATTGAGCTTTAGAAATGAAAAGACACAGTAAAGTTACAACAATCCAAAACTTCTTTTTTTTTCATCTTCTTGGTATAATATCTCAGTTTTGTTCCTATTGAAAAACACTGATTCTGTACTCGGCAAAGTGAAATAGTAAGAATTCTGTTCAAGTTATGTGCTACTGTAGTAAGTGTTATGACATATCTGCAGCATGTAAGAAGATAATTTCTACTATGTAGGTTAATTAACAGTTCGTCTTTTTTTCAAGTATAAGTAAGTCAAATAAGTCTGTGCCTCTTAACTGACCTCCTCAGAATCAGGATTTATTTCAAATGTACATGCATTTTGGGTATACTTGCAAGAGTCATATCACCACATGGGAAGGGCAGCTGATAAAAACAAGTTACAGCAAGTGAAATTAATTTTTACTAGTACTGAAAATGTACTTTTTAAAGTTTTCTCCAGTAAATGATCAGAAAACAGACAACACATCCATGTCATAGACATTGATTTTGGTGATAGAAGAAATTGGGCTGAAGAAAAATTGGATTTAATTTTTATTTTTTCAAATTGTGACATTTGGAATGAATGTACAAATAGTGGCAGTTTTGAACAGAGCTTAAATGTGTTTGTGACCCTTAAAACTTTCATGTGGCTGTGTCACATACTTGTAAAGTTATGAGGGTTCATTTTTTGTACTTATGAGTTTTTGTACATATGATTCTGAGAGATTCGGATGTAAACTTTTTTTTTTTTAAAGATTTGGTTGCTTTTATATGGATTGACAGTTTTATCTTCACACACTGTAGTTCCCCCGAAGCATTCATTTTGCTTTTCCTTTGCCACACCTTTTGCTTTTTTAGTTTTTCTCGCGGACACAGCAAAAAGCTGTTTTCAGAAAACAAGCACAGAAAAACTTAATGTTCTCTGACGCTCCAGCACCACGAGGTACACTGATAAAGTTAGAGAGAATAGTGGAGCATTTATCAGCTCAGGAGTTAAAAGCAGCTGTACAGATAAGGTGTTTACAAACACATTCAATGTAGGTAATAATGATGCACCTACAGCATGTTCCAATTAAATATTCACTTCATATTGCTTTAATCTATTCTGGGTTTTTTGTTTGTTTATGAAAAAGTTTAAAGGTAGTAAAGCAAATTTTCAGAGCCCAGAGTATTTTGTCTATCCAATAGTCTGCAACCCAAATTACAATAGACTGTTTTCCACTGCAGGAATTTATGTACCTTTGTAGGGCAGCTCAAACCATTGTGCATGTTCCCAACTCTTTTTGGGATGTTTTTGGGAGAGAAAAATTACCTTCTGATTAGATACATCCGAGCAACCCTAAAAAACCCCAACCACACCAAGCACTATTTTGTCTACCCTCTTGATGTTCTACCTGAGTAGCAGTCTCCTCCCCTCAAACATCGTCTTCACAAATCAGTAAATCTAACATTCTTGCTCATGTTGTGACTCTAAATGATTATCATAATTGCTGCTGACCAGTTTTCTATGATTAATTAATTGAGTCAGCCCTGCTACTAAGATTAATAACAAAAGTAGCATGGGTGTGAATAGATTTTAGGTTTTGGCTTTACTAAAGACATACTCATCCATCTATAAATGATCAACCTAAAGAAAAGGGCAAGGCCAGGACTGTAATCCTGCACAATGCTGCAACATGTCCCTGTATGAGCATCTGTGTTTGACACATGTGCGACGTGCGTGCGTGCGCGTGTGTGTGTGTGTGTGTGTGTGTGTGTGTGTGTGTGTGTGTGTTTGCTCTGCTGGTGGGAGTGGGCTGCAGTGGATCTCATGTCTGTGTTGAAACCAAAGAGTGGCAGCTGCTCCGCTGTCCGTGGGGAAGTTTGCTTCATGTGGTCTGCATGACACCGTGTCTCTGTGGGTTTAATGGTAGTCTCCGGTCCAGCTCTGGTTTCTGCATCTGGCCTTGTGGCAGCCGGAGGATTTTTTCCAGAGAATGTATTCTAAGAAAATTACATAAGAAAGCAAGTCCATTTGATGCCAAATTATAGTATAATTTATCTTTACAGTTCCTTGAAATTCAATTTTAATGAAGTTTATTCGTCATCTGCTGTCTCACAGACTGTTCCTCTGTCCCTGAATACACTACAGGCCTCGGCCATGGGGGGATCCAAGAGTAAACCCAAGGATGTAGGCCAGCGAACCCGCAGCCTTGATGGCAACCTCAGCTCCGGGGGAGGGGCTGGCGGCCACCACCTCAACTCTACTCAACAGTCCCTAACTCCCAACCGTAGTCCTACGATGGATGGAGGCCTCAGTGGCAATCAGTCAATGGGCAACAATGCAGAGCTGGCCCTGTTCGGAGGTGTCGACAACAACGCTGTCACGTCTCCCAACAGAATCACACTGGCAGGTGAGAACTTCTGCTCCAGGCAAGGATTAGTAGGTTTAGCCCCTAATTGTGCAGGTTGTTTTAAGTGTAAGCTCTGTATGTACAGTGTGAAGTTCTTCGATAAGAGCCAAACTCTCTCTTCCAACAGGAGGCGTGACGACCTTCGTGGCATTGTATGACTATGAGTCTCGAACAGCCTCAGATCTGTCTTTCAGGAAGGGTGAACGCCTCCAGATAGTAAACAATACGTAAGGAAAATATAGATCTTACTTCCCTTTTCTTAACTCAATCTACAGCTCCTCTGTCTCCTCTTGCACACTCAAGAATGGCCCAAGAACACTTTTTCTATGCTCAAAATGCATTGCTCAGTTGCTTTAAACTCCAAAAATGCATATCACCTGTCTCTCTGTCAATAACCAGAGGGATGTGATTTCCCTCTGGAGAGCTTGAATTATATCTAAGTGACATGTTTCTGCACAAATGTTGCTTCATTCACAAAGCTGATCATGTGGTTTTATTGGAAATTAAAGAAGCAGAGTTAGTGCAAGACCTACTTACTAACCTGTTTCAGGGGGGGAGGTCATGCTTGTTTTTAGTATGGGCTTTACTCTATGAATCAATAGAGGTGCAGTGAACCATATACAGTGGTGCTGCACCCCCAGCACTGCTCGCCCACCAACAACTTACTGACCTAGAAGGCACGAGCTCAGAACAATAGTGGATTATCACTGCATCTGGCCCCTTAAGCCAAAGACCTGGATCATTGTTGGGTCAAGTCCACGCACAATCCATGAACCAACTCTAAGATTAGTTAACGGGTTAATACAGTCAAATTAGGTGTCACACAGGCTTGTTTTAGTTCTGTTTTGTCCGGTTAAATGTGTTAGTAGAGCCATATACTGTGACCTGGCACGTTTTTGTCATGATAATTCTGTGCCCTTTACATGTTTCCCTGTCAGGCCTCATATTTGTGCCTCCCTCATTATGTAGCTGTTCAAATATTTTACACTCACAACTCTATCATGTGTACTGGAGTCTGTTCTGTATACTGAAGTGTTCTGCCACTGCCCATGATGTGCTCTCTGAGTTTCTTTAACCTCCTTCTTTTTCACCATTTCCCTCTCATCTCTCTTTCCCATTTTTCCATCACAAACCATCACATTTTTACAGGAGGAAGGTGAACTGCAGGTTTGTGAAGCTTCTCTGGATCTGCATTTGAATTTACTTTTTGTCTGCCTGTGTTTTCTGTATCACGTAGACCGAATACTGTATAAGCCTTGTGCACTTCACATAACTCTGCCCTTGCACCGTGAACTCTCAGTGCAGTAGTCAAGGGGAGCTGGTGCAAAGTCTTGCAGCACTATCATCATTGCAGGGCAGCTGAAGGCAAACAATCCTCAGTTTGCTCTAAATTCTACTCGTGAAAATAGTGCTGCAAAGCTGCAGCAGCTCAGCCCCTGATAAAGTGTAGCATATACTCCCTTTTTGTCCTACCCACATGAATGCATGTTTGTATAATTACATAACTCAGTATTATTTCTTTAACAGTAGAGAAATCTGGGCTTATATTTATCAAGTTTCTCCAAGAGCCAAGATTACTTTATTTAAACTGGTGTAAAATAAAGAGTTAACTGTCTCGATGTGTTTATACTCTGAGACACTTGATAAACAGCCCTAGAAGTCACATTTGCGTTTTGGATGTGTGATGATCCTTGGTGAAGCTGTGCGTTATCATTTCATCTGTGCAGAGAAGGGGACTGGTGGTTGGCGCACTCCCTGACCACTGGAGAAAGCGGTTACATCCCCAGCAATTATGTGGCTCCATCCGACTCCATCCAGGCAGAAGAGTAAACCCCTTCATTTTTTTTTCTTGCTCTGTCTCTTTTATCTGTCTTACACCAAGAGCATGGAAGCACTGACACTCAGATTTTGGATTCTTAAGAATTTTCTGTCTTTTTTTTTGCTTCATGTGAATTTGAATTGAGTCCAGAAAGGAATAGTTCAACACTTTGGGAAATTCACTTATTTGCCTTCTCACTATGAGGCAGACAATAAGATTGTTACCACACAGTAAATCTAAAAGTACAGCTAGCAGCCAGTTAGCTTAGCTTAGCATAAAGACTGGAAAAATGGTGAAAAAGTAATGAAGTCCACCCACCCAAACTTCTAAAGCTTGCTATGGCCCAATGCCAAACTTCACATTCACAGAGACTGAGGGTTTAGGGCTGTCCAACTATCTAACCATCAAATGAATGAGGGCTCTTTTGTGAACTTTTCAAAGCTATTGTGCACCCCCCTCTGTGAATCCACAAAGCTGCAAACTTTTAGTGACATGTAAACGTGTTTGTCCTGCCTTACCTACACTAAGCATGGATGGTACAGAAAAGAAAGTTTGTGCATAAATGACTGCATTTGGCTGCTCGTTGTTGAGGTTATTTACTGCGTGTTTGTAGTATCCGCACAGGATTTACTGATTTTCAATGCTTTCCTGACTGTTGATTGGTTGCTAAAATATTTAAACACTGTAATGAAACGCGAGGGTTTAGTGCTTAGGCTAAATACCTCAATTTCACGCAGTTTTGTTTAGTGTCCATAAATCTGTACAATATACAGGTTATGCCCCCTAGTGTTCATCATAAGGTATTTCATATTGTATTTCATTGTGAATGGATGAAAGCTTAATAATTTTATCTGTTTTTACTAGCCAGTTTTATGGAATATGTGCATTAACATTACCAACACTAACACAGGACCATTAATGTATGGCAAGAAATAAGGGAGGATGTTGTCCTGCCAAGTCTGGAGCCAGTTTTGTGAATTATGTTGTTACAGGACATATAAACTACTACAGTATGTGTAGCTGTATATCTAGCATGTGGTAAACTAGCTAAACAAGTTACTTTTTAAAGATACATTTGCCAGATTTGACTGTAAACATAGTCAACCAGCTGAACAGCTGTTAGCTAAACTTCGTGCTGCACATAGTCTGGTTTCTCTGTAATCCAAAAGCAAATTGAGACCCAAAACACACAGCTTTGTTTGGTGTCAGTAATTCTGTATAATATACAGACTCCACCCCCTGGTGTTTAATGCTAGTAAATGCATTTCATATTTACACTTTAGTCTATAAACCAAGATAGGAGATGGTATCCAGACTACTTCAGGTATGCTGGTAGGTGGACTTTGTGACCTTTGGACTGTACCAAGCGAACTTTTTGCTTCTGTTTCCAGTCTTTATGCTAAGCTAAGCTAACTGACTGCTCCGTTTAGCGCATATCTATTAGCAGACACCAGAGCAGGTCTTCTCATGTCACTCTCTGCCATAAACCAAAAAATTCAAAATGTCAGACTATTCCTAAGTACATGTGTTGCTTTCTCTGCTGATCTTTACTTACTAACCTGCTTGCTTACAAAAAAAAACTCACAAACTAACTTTTTGTAACAACTCCATTTCTCACCTTTGCTTCCTGCTCCACCAGTCATCTCAAACTGACTCTAGAGTCCAGGTAAGCAGCTGTTGCACCACAGGCATTAGTACGCATGGCATCTGGAATACTCTTTTTGAAATTATAAGCTAAAGTTCACCCTCAATGTGCCATTTCCTCTCTTCCTGCCACATACATCTTTCTTATCTCACCAACCTGCTAAAGTCCCTTGTGTGTTTGACCTCCCTAGGTGGTACTTTGGCAAAATCACGCGCCGTGATTCGGAGAGGCTGCTGCTGAGTTTAGAAAACAGGAGAGGGACTTTCCTGGTCAGAGAGAGTGAGACCACCAAAGGTAAGACTGTGGACACATCATTCAATCGGTCTCTTTTGACCGTCAGCAGGTTGTCAAGCCCTTGCCATAGCACTGACAATAAAAAAATTGTGGCATATAAAAAGTTTGAACAAAATCCTTAGTGAGATTATTTGTCAGATAATTAAGACTAGCTTGTGAAGATATCCTCTGTCCAACTGTCCTACTATTTAATGCGAATTTCTGTTTGTAATTAAACTAAATGCAATTCTACCCACTATGTGTGTCCTACAATTATTGATGCAAGTCCACCATGTCTGTCCGTATATGTGGAAGGTGGATATAGTCTTTTCATTCATCACTTTTAACCCTCCTGCTTATGTTTTTTAAGCTGCAACTTTCCCATTGGAGGATCACTAAAGTTTGTCTTTATAATAAGACATTAGAAAGTGATGAAAAACAAGACAAATTTTCTTCGCGTTGCCAAGGACTTGCCACTTTTCTAACAAAACCTGTCGGAACACCTGTAAAAGCTGTCCTAGGTATCCTATTGCAACCGTGCCAACAATTTCAAACGATACTCAGCCCTATTAAACACGAGAACTATTTTTAAAAGAGATTCCAAGGATTGTTATGACTTTTGGCATCCTCAAACAACAGCCTGGGGGGTGGGGTTTCAAGTTTCAGTGAAGTGCAGAGTTCTTTCTTAAAACCATAGTATGAGAAAATATGTTTGTGAAGACGAAAATTCTCAGAACCCAAGAAAGCAGATCCAATTATTTAGTCTATGGTATTGATCACCAAGCCTACCCAGAGAACATTTTGTTTAGGAAAGTAACACGGTACAGTGATGTCATAGCGCTTTTTAGGCTCATTCGTGTATTTTTTTTATGAACTTGTAAAATGTTCAGATCTCAGCGTGAAACTCAGTTTGAGTTCTATGACATGTCTCAGCAAAAAGACACCAAGGAGAAGAAAGCAAATTCTTTCTAGCAGTAAGACATGTTACCCTGCTGTTCACTATGCGCCCTGCCAGGCGTGTGCCAGCGTGGGCACAGAAGAGAAACGAAACAGGCAGATGGGAAAAGGTTGGATGCGACGCCTGTGGGACTCGGTCTGGAGATACTTCTGATAAGCAGCTGCTCTGCTGCTGCTGCTCCTGCTGCTTCGAGTGCTGCAGCAATGTATTCCCTACGGGCTCAGCTTGCTGCCTGCCTGTGTGTGATGCGCATACACGTGTACATTACAGATTTCCTATTAGGGGATATGTGTATAAGCTTTACGTAGAATGAGGAAAGGGTCAAGGTGGGGAGAGAAAGCGAGTAGATGGGTGAACAGGAGCAGCGAGGAAGTACTGGGTGGGTGAGCAGACAGAATTAGGTCAGTGCTGAGCTGAAGCTGAGGACTGTACAACCACAGGCCATATCGCCCAGTTCAAACATAAAGAGATGGGGGAGGCATCGCCTTGGGCCCTCAGTGATTCACACTGTTTTCCCTTGACTAGCACTGCCCTCTGGTGGTGGAATGAGCACATTATCCCAAAAAAATACTCTTCATATGCATGCAAGCGATCTATCACCTGGTATAATTCAAAATAAAAGCTGCACCATCATTTTTGTTGTTCTTCCTCCCAGGTGCCTACTGTCTGTCTGTACTGGACTACGACAACACCAAAGGGCTCAACGTGAAGCACTACAAGATCAGGAAGCTGGACAGTGGAGGCTTTTACATCACATCACGCACTCAGTTCGGCACCCTGCAGCAGCTTGTCAACCACTATCGCAGTGAGTTTACCACCAGAAAAAGGCTGCTTAGCAATCATTCCCCGACTGAGTCACCAGTAATTACACAGATGAGTAGAAAGACTCCCAAGCATTTCTTTACTCGTTTAGTCAGACATTCTCTCTCAACCTTCAGTAAAAAGCAGCTGCACTGGAAGACATTTAACCTCTCATCTGAGAGGTTTCTTCAGTTCAGAAGTGAAGAAATCTCTTGGATGAGAGGTGAAACGTCTGGAAGAACAAGTCTAGTTGCTTTTTACTGAAACTCTAAGGATTTACATGACACAGATGACGTGGAGACATTTCCTCTGTTTCCTGCACCATCTGGGGGGTATTCTGTGATAAATTTCTAATATGCCACTGATCACACTCACTGTCTTCCCTCTCCAGAGCACGCTGATGGACTGTGTCACAGTCTAACAGAGATTTGTCCTGTACTGAAGCCTCAGACTCAGGGCTTATCCAAGGATGCCTGGGAGATCCCAAGAGAGTCCCTTCGCCTGGACCTCAAGCTTGGACAGGGCTGCTTTGGAGAGGTCTGGATGGGTAAGTCGTGCTTTGATCTGTCTCTTAAACAAATCTTTAATGACAATGAGAATAGAAAGTTGGTTTTCTTTCTTTATGTGAATACAGTTGTTGCTCTTGCTTCTTACTGAAAATTAGGTTTTAAAACCAGTTTCAGTAGAATATTAACAAACTGTGTGAAGGCCAAACTTTTGGCCTCCATACTTGAATCTTAACTTGAAAAGAGTCCTTCTCTGGTCGTCAGTTTATTTTGTTTGGTTTTGTTTGTTTAGTTTTTTTGAGAGGGGGGGGGCATTTTTGCCTTTATTTGACAGGACAGCAGAGAGTGAGACAGGAAAGTGGGGAGAAGAATGGGGGGAAGGACCTACAGCAAATGGCCATGGGCTGGATTCGAACCCATGACCGCTGCATCAGGGAACTGTAGCCTCTGTACATGGGTCACCAGCTCAACCAGTTGAGCTATAGCGGCGGCCCTTAATTTGTTTTTTTTAAAAAACTATTTTAACCATTTTTCAAGTACTTCTGTCGATTATATATATATATATACTTCTTGAACTTCCTTGCTTACCTAGTAGTTTCCTTACTCATAACTGCAGCATGTAGTGTTAAGATATTATATCTGTGTTCACACCACCTGGCAGCTGCAGAAGTTCTCCTTCAGTACCACTGGTTGATGATTTGATTTTACATGAGTTAATGACAGAAGCTAATAACTGTTTGAGTTCCAACAATCAATACTGATGAAGTACTGTCTCATAGCTTTTATTTCTTCCTTCGTTTGTCAGGCACATGGAACGGTACAACACGGGTGGCAATCAAGACCCTGAAGCCTGGCACCATGTCCCCTGAAGCCTTCCTTCAGGAAGCTCAGGTCATGAAGAAGCTGAGACACGAAAAGCTGGTTCAGCTGTACGCCGTGGTATCTGAGGAGCCTATCTACATCGTCACAGAGTACATGGGGCAAGGTCAGCGTGACATTCTCTCACTTTCTGATCTACACACTGGTGTATTCAAATAATTGTAGCATCATTCAAAACTGTGTTAGAGTAAATGTGAATATTGTAAATATCAAGTAAAAATGTGACAGGATAAACAAAACACCCAGAAACGGCTTGGGGTTTAAAGGGTTAAATATACCAAATGGAGTTAGTTTTGAAATAAAATTGGTTGCTTTAAAGACATTTTTGGATTTAAAAACTGCAACAGTGATTTGATTATTCTAACCTGCAGTATGTGTCCCTGCTAACAGGCAGCCTATTGGATTTCCTGAAAGGGGACATGGGTAAAATGCTGCGCCTCCCTCAGCTGGTGGACATGGCCTCACAGGTCAGCACAAATAATTTGTTAATCTTTGCTTTACTATTTGCTGCCTATGCTGTTTTTTTT